TCCCCTTCTCCTCCTCTTCTCGTCTTCTGTTGGCCCAGCTGCTCCTTCCCTTACTTTCAGATCTTTGTCGCTTCTTCTCCTCACTTTTTAAAGTGGGCAGAGTGTGACACTAACACAGAAAGAGTGATATGCTCTTTATGTTATAGATAAATACTCATTTGTATGTGTCTTTATTAACATAGAGACTTCAAATATAAATGTTCTTTAAAGGAAACCGTGCAGAGGAGTTTCCTGCAGTGGGCTCAGACGGACTCTCCTTAGGCTGCAGGTACGATTACCCGTCAGCCAAAGGTTAAGCAGCCCGTTAGACTCGAATCCTCCCTGTAAAGCACGTTCACTGAGAATGCACATGCATACTTAAGATGAACATTTCTGTCAGCTCCTCTGGATTTTGACAGCTGGACAGTCTGAAGATTGTGTTTACAGAGATTTCAGCGATAAGATGGAGCTATGAGAGGGAGGCGGACAGACTTTTAACAAGATTTGATTTATTTCACACTCCTGGAAAACGGCAGCGGCCGTTCTTCACACCTCGGCGTCTCACATTTGTTCCTAATGTTCTTTGTTTTTATTATTCATTCGTGTTGCTCTGACAGAACTTTTGCAGAGAAATTCAAACTCCAAACCAACCTAATGATCATCTTTAATACCTGGAGTGTTTTCTAAGATTTATTTTAGACCTGCATCTAATCATGCACACAGATACATGCATTCATATATATGCATGGCTGCTCACACACTCCGCTCTGTGCTTGATGTGGAGATAAACAACTGCAGGATGTACGACTGTGTCGTCCCTCCAAAAGAGCTCCTTTGTCTCTTAAGATAATATCTCCACCACAGATAGAAAGAGACTATTAACATTTCATGCAGCGGGGTAAGCCGTGACCTTAAACTGGTATCTACCGAGCTGCTCTCCTCTCATCTGATCCAAACACTAAAACCATCTGAGCCTAAGTGAGCATTTCTCTCGATAGCACCTCAGAGCAAGAGCTCCTCTGCAATTAAATGAAGGCCCACCCATTTTGAAGTGCTCTGTGAGGACAGCGTTTAGCAGAGGAAACGTTCGTGTAAACTGTTTCTCTCTGCTCCGCTCTTTCTCTTGATTGCTTTTTTCTGTCTATAAACATGCCTGCAGATTTTAACTCGTTCCCTCCCTTCAGAGGGAACTTAAGCCCTAAACATTCGCCCTCCTCTGCAGGCCTCATCCCTCCCCTCGCACGCCCTGCGTGCCTCCCGTGCTTTGACAGCGAGGGGATCTGTCCGCAGATGCTCCGATATGAGCTAAAGATGGACGGTTGATTGATTGGATGTAGACGGCAGCAGAGACGTGGCCACAGAAAGCCGGCCCGCCTCTCGCAGCTGTTCGCGCCGGACGCTTTAATCTAGCGGCGAGCATGCAGGATCAGGGCTGGGCACCGCAGATCCTGCCTCAGCTACCCTGGGTGGGAGTTGCCCGCCTGCCAGAGGGATTAACAGGGAGAGAGGGAGGATTCGGCCTCGCAGAGGAACTGCTCGTGCCGCAGGGTGATCAAATAATCCGATGAAGAACGTGACGAGTGCAGGAGCACCTCGTAGGCCGAGCGCCACTCGCGGCGTGAGGGTTTGATTCTGAGGTCTGGACACATTTTACATTCCAGTACGTTATAGCTGCTCATCCTGTTCATGTGAAGGTCAAACAGCGCCCGGCTGCGTGCGTGCACGTCTCATGCTTCTTGAAATGATTTTCATCATAACATGCATAACCTTCTCCCCCATGTTGGACCGAGTATAACCAGCTTAGATGAGTATAACAGCCCATGGAGCAGCAGGAAGGCTTGACCTGCATTTTTAAACATTAGAAGAAGCCTTTAATAAAGATTTGTCCCACTGACTAAAGACAGATGAACATTGCTACCTCGAGGTCACCCAGTTTGGCACTGGGCTGTCACCAGTTGTTTTGTTTTTTAAAGAATAGAAGTGACTCAGATGGCGCTGAATGGTGCCGGCTCAGCAACATCCACCCATGCTAACAGTCAGGCTCCTAACGCTTGTTTTATGGCACCATGGTTGTGTTTGCATGCGTATTAGCCTGCACAGAGCGGCTTTCAATCTATGCAAACATCCTGTGCAAACCTCCAAATATCTGATAGTGGGTAGCTCGAATACACACAGGTGAAACGGCTGGAAACCGTAGTGACAAACAAAGTTCACCAGGAACGGAAGAAGGACTAAAAAATCTCAAAAAATATGCTACGGAGAGCTCTGCAGGTGGCTGCAGGGGACACTTTCACTGTTTTCAGCTTTTGGTTTCTAGCAGAGGCTCAGCTGTACCACATACTTTGAACACTGCCTCCATCTGGTGGCACATGCTCCCTGCAGGTGATCGGGCTGTCCACCGCTCCCTACACTCACCACATTTGTCATTTAACAAAAAAAAAGGAGTGGACGAGTGTCTCAGGCTGTAAATGTGTTTATTTCTGCTGCACAGTTGGATAGTTTAACTCACTGCTGGAGCCTCCAGTGGCAAAGTTTAGGAACTGCAGTTTTTGGTCCCAGAGAAGTGAAGGAGGAATCTGCACAATGTCTTGTGCAGCTTTTGTTTTGATCCTGTACACGAATCGAGCATTCTGCTAAGATGAGGAGTGTGACCTCTGCCCGAGGCCTCCCCTTAGAAACAAATGTGTTCACTCAAGCTGCTAAATATGGTCTGCTACAGTATGCAGTGTACATACAGTACAAAAACACTCATGCAAATTCCACAGGGCACAGGAGCACCGGGGCAACGGCTGCTATGCAAATAGAAGAGAGTCCTTGTGTAAACCCAACCCTGCCAAAGTCACCTCAGACAGATCGTCCTGCAGACACGTGCAGCACAGTCATTCCTTCTACCTGATGCAGAAGGAACCACGGCTGCAAGAAGATCAAACATATCAAACACCGGGTTTCAGGAGGACACATCTCATGATATTTGAGCTAAAAAGCTTTTCTTGTAACTCTAAATATTCTTGCTTTGAAGGTTAAATTTAGCACGGCTTCATTAAATACGCTAAAATGATTGCACATAAACATTTGCATCATAATCTGCACTCTTTAGTGTCATTGCATTTCTTGTGACGCTGCACTATTAGTTATTTTAAACGACAAAGGAACCCACATGAATTCTCTTCAGTGACAAATGACTCTGTTTCCTGTCCAAGGAAACAGCGCTGCGGTGCTTTGTCTTGTTTTTGAACAGATGCCCAAAGACCCCAAAAGTGTTTCAGTGGTCGTTCTCGGGTCTCTCCAACTTTTTATTAGTTTAAGTTCTTAAAAAAACTCCCAGTGCACTCAGAAAGGAATCAGGTCGACTCAGATCTCAGTTTGGACGTTGAGCTCAGGATCAAGAAAGTAATGCAAACCATACAGCAACATATTAATGACTAACCTTGAGTTGTGGATGAATCCTTCCGAACTTTGGTCCGTTTTCAGGATATCCACAGCTTCATGTTCTATATTTAGTTGCCTGTTTGCCCTGAAGGACTCTCAGACCATGAGAAACAAACTCCTCCAGTCTGATGAAATAAAGATTGAACTCTTTATCCTGAATGCCAAGCATCAGGAAACGAAGCACCGCTTATGACCAGGCCAATGCCGTCCCTAAAGTGAAGCATGGCGGTGGCAGCATCATGCTGTGGGGATGTTTCTCAGTAGCTGGGACAGCTAAGGAAAGACGAATGCAGAGACATCCTTGATGATAACCTGCTTCAGGCCTGCTACGACCCTGACGAACAACCCTTAATTTGCCCAGACTTGTACCCGACTGAATATCTGTGCAGGGATCTGAAAACAGCTGCGCAGAAGATGCTCAACATCCAACCTGATGGAGTTGAGAGGTTCTACAATGAAGCCGCCCAAAAATTGGTTAGCCTAGCTCGTAGCATCATGCTCACCTGAGGCTGTAATTTTGGAAAAATGCAGTAACGTGGAAAGAGTGAAGTGCTGTGAATATTTATGAATGCACTGAATTTCCTGCAGAGTAAAATAACGATCAGACCATCAGGCCGCTGTGGCTAAGAGGCTACAGTCCGCTCTCCTTAGCTAGCTGCTAGCATCACATGTGCTCTTTTTTGAATGAAAGTAACGTCTAAAGAGCCAAAATAAGGAGCTAAAATCAGTTTAAAGAGACAGGCCGGTGTCTGGATTTTCTGTGGATGTAAGAGGCTGGGGTCCGCTCTCCTTAGCTAGCTGCTAGCATCACATGTGCTCTTTT